GGGTGGGGTTTGTGGAATTTTCTCTATGTTTGGTTTGGAAGAGAAGACCTCGGCTCTGCGCTCTCATGAGGATAATGGAAAAGAGGGGAGAAGAAAAGCAGGGTTGTGTGCGTGCGTGTGCGTGTGTGTGTGTGTGTGTGTGTGCGTGCGTGCGTGCGCGTGCGTGTGTGTGCGTGCGTGCGCGCGTGGACTCTCGCAGGTGGTCGCGCCTTTCGTGCGCACGTGCGTGCGTGTTTGGCCGAAGAGTGCGAGCACGATGGCACGGCTCCGCGCGCCCGAGAAAAGCGTGTGAGCACATGTGTCTGCTTATTTGCAGATGTTGGCACCGCCGAGCATGCGAGCTTTCAGTTCGGAGACGGGGAGACGAGGTGAATAAGACATTCCTGGGATGAATGGATGCGGGGAGCCAGCGGTTGGTTTGTGGTTGCATACTAAGAGGAGAAAAATGAATGTCTGGTGCAGGGCTGCGCCCAGAAACAATACCGCAGCCAAGCAGGGAGCCAAGCAAAAGCAAGAGGGATAGCGTTGCATGTGGAGGAGAACCAGGGGAGGCTCGCTCCGCCGCCTCCTACCCTCCTCCCCTCCCATGGAGGACCAGCTCACTCCTGCCCCTGCTGCTGCTGGGGCAAGCCGTGCTTTTATGGCTGCTCTGAACCCGCTGAACTTATCATGTACAAACAGCCAGCCAGTGATAGTCAACAGCCGGCAACACAGTGAGGAAAGTTGAGGAGGAAGAAGGCGAGCGTCACCGCCGTCCTGTATTTCAACTGAAATTCAACTTTTGTTTATTTCATGTGCTCAAAGGACAGTTGGGTCAAAAATAACCCAAATTGGGTACAAAAAAAAAAAAAAAGAGAGACCAACCCAACTTCTTGGATTGAATAAATAATCCAACCTATTTTCTAAGAAGAAGCAACTATCCCCTTTCAGGGGTCGCCACAGCAAGCCACTCGCATATGTTTGCCACAGTTTTCACACCGATGCCCTTCCTTTTCACAACAACGGTGTCCAGAGGATAACCTGAGCTTTGCTACTAGAGGCTTCACATGCTGCCTTTCATGAGCTTGCCGGCAAGTGTATGCGCAACAGCAGGCTGGATCTCACTGGCAAGTGTCTGTCAAGGTGAACTAGACTGCTCACAAAAGATATACTGTGCTCGGCTGTTTAATTTCCCACCTTGATGGGTAGGCAGGCACTACAAAGGCAACACAACGATTTGTATTCAAGCCTATTTCCGTAATCTGTTCCCTTTACCTATTCATTTTTGTAAGACATATCGGACAACAGCACCCCTTCAATTTTGGGTGAGCAGTTAGAGGGAGACCTTTTAAAGTTCCCAGTGCACAACGCAACATCCATGAAGGCATGCTTGGATGAGTGTAGTGTCGCGAAACTTCACCTCAACCCTCCTTAAATACCTTTGGGATAAAATAGAACATCAGGGCCCTGACTGGCTAAATGTCATAGAAAAACATTTTGCAAATCATAAGCAAGCTGGTGAGCTAAACGACAATGGCCTGGATGACTACAGTGGACATCTACACTGGATGAAGGGCCTTCTCTTCAAAATAAAGTGGTGCTTTGAGATAGAAGTGACTCAATGTACTAATTTTTCGAGATACGAGCCGTCGTTTGACTGATTTTTGTATCGACTTATAGCACTGTATGTGGCAGTGAATTCAAATCAACACACTTTACAATCAGCAGCTGTTTGACAAATAGTGAATAATTCATGAAAAACAGGCTGCACAGTGTTTCATGCCACTCTCAGTTGTCGTTTACTGTCAAACTAAACATAAAACAAAGAGAATTGCACCTTGTGTGCCTAATAACTGCCTTTAGTACCCCCTAGCTCGCTTAATGCTAATGCTAATTACCGTCTATGTTGTGATGCTTTAACCCAGGGGTGTCAAACTCATTTTTGTCGTGGACCACATTGTCGTTACCGTTTCCCTTGGAGGGTTGTTATGAATTTGGGGAAACATATTACATGCACAGCGCACAACTAATTGATAGATAACTAGTTTTAAAATCAGAAGTCAAGAATAATGACTGTTGTTGTGGATCACATATGACAATTTGAAATTTTGGTTCCGACTTTAGTAAGCATCATGGAACTTGACATGCCTGATTTGCTTTGATGGGCCACATAAAATGATGCGGCGGGCCAGATGTGGCCCCCGGGCCTTAACTTTGACACCTGCGCTTTAACCCATTAAGCAATGGCTGAAATGCTCATACTCTTTATCCTCTGCGTAGAACAACTGAAATCAGTACCGTACTGATGATCTAAAAGAGGAGTTGAGATGTTTATATGTAAAGGGACCCAAGTACGTTAAGTCTAGAATACTCTGGATAATGGCATCATATCATTGTCATGCATGGGTGCAACGTGGAAAAAAAAACATTCCAATCTTTTGAAATCTGATTGACCGGACAGATGGAACCAAGAGCAATTTAACCAATCCAAAGCATTCCACATCAAAGGTCTCACACTGAGGGGGCAGTATAATGTGACGGGTAGGTATGGCTGCCAGCCAAGGTGTGGCGAGATGCTCGCGATACTCAACTTCAGACAAATGCTACAAAACGGATAGGACGGTGCATCACATTGCGGATGATGGAAAGACTTTTTGAAGAGCAAAGAAATGAAATGTGTTTCAAAGATGAAGGCAATGGAGCAATTGATGGAAGGCAAAACAAGCCGCCAAAAAGCAGCGAGCAAAGGCGGCAAAGGATCTCTGGGGAGGAAACTCAGATCGGACTACAAGCTACAGCGCTCACTGACTGATTTTTTTTTTTTTTTTTTTTTGGAATATATACTGTATTGTAACATCGCTTTAACAGACTAACTGGCATGCGACAGGCATGCCCTGTTTTAAATTACAGGGGAAAGAATTCCAATGCAAATCCTCTATAGTGGTATACACTGCCATTGTCCGAATATTTGTGGCCCTAACTGTGTTTGTGAGCAGCTCCCAGCCCTCCACCCTGCATCAGACAGTGTGGGTGGAAAGGGGCTTTTATGCAAGACGCACCCAAGAACAGGAAAAAGACTCGAGTCTGACCTTTCCGAATCCACAGTATGATGCAACGAGGCTGCAACCTGCTGCCGTCAACAGCACAGAAAAGCCTCACATTAGGCTACGAAACCACCGCCATCGTCAACCATCACAACGAGGAAAAAAAAAAATCTGGCAAGGACAGTCAGGATGAAACAGCCCCGCCTCTTGGGGCCCCAGCGGGTCTTGAAACCCGAGTGAGTCGTGTTTGAGGTGGAGATGGGGAGTTAAGGTTGGTGACTGGAGAGTTTGCGGGAATTCAGGGTGGAGGTAGGTGTAGTTTCCACACTGTGGCCAGGCGGTGTTGTACGGGAGTTTTTCATCAGGACAGCTAGGTGAAAGGTGGAGGAATGGCCAATCGAATGTTCTGAACTCCTTTTTCCATCGTAGTGTCGTCAGAACAATGATACCCGAGGGGGTTGTGCCACAGCATGGACGTAGTTTGACTTTTCAGAGCTGAGCAGTTTGCTTCAGTCGGGTTGCAATCCATCATGATTCAAATCCAATCCAGTGCACCCACAAATACTGTTGTGGGAAAACGCTTATTGGTGATTTATCAAGCACAAATCTATTCCTATGAACAATTAAGAGTCATTTAGGGAACTTAACATGTTTTGGGAAAGCTACAGTATCCACAGTAAACCCACCCAGACATGTGGAGAATGTGTAAACCCCGCATAGGAAGTCCAAACTCCGAACCTCAGAACTGTGAGACAGACACGTTAACCACTAGTGTACCACGCTGTTGCTCATCATATAAATGGCTCCAAAATTGTCACATTTACTATTTCAGTACAATAACTTGACATCGTTTTATTGTCAAAAACCCAGTGTGCTACCATTATATTAATGTATTAGTGTTATGAGTGTAATATTTGTTTTTCTTCTTTGAAAAATATTTCTTCATCATTTTTTTCCATACTTTATATTTAGATTTTTTTTCATGAAATGCTTTTTTTTCTATGTCGCTATATTTATAATAACAAAGTTAACATAATGATTGAAAAAAAATAATAACTGAAAATGTAAACAGTTGAAAGAGATGATACAAGGAACAATTTCAATAGATCTTTGTTTTTCCTTTAGGAGAATATATTTTAACTCCGGAAAGATTCAATCATTTTAAAAAGTCGACATAGAAATTAGAATTAAAAATGGTGAAATCATCAAGAAGAAAAATGTGTTTTCAGATTTTACTCATAGATTTTTATTTTAAGATTTCTAGGTTCATGTATTTTAAATAATAAAATAAAATCATAATTTATATCAGTAATCTACGAAGTGTACTAATCCAGAAAACTGCTGCTGCTAAATGTAAATTTAGATTTTAATCTTAATATTATTTTTTAAAGAAATGTATGGAAAATAACAAATCTAAAATATTTATTGAATACCTGTAAAAAGTCAATAATATTTTCAAAATAATAGTCACGTGTAGAGAACTAGAAATAAAACAGCCTTCTTCAGATGTTTTCATATATTTAGATATTAATTGTGCAGGGAAAAATAGAAATAAAAAATTCTAAAAAATATACACAATAATATTTTCAAAATAAGCACAGAGGGTGGTTAAAAAACAGCCTGGAGCAGATTTGTGCGAGAATAAACACGTCAATGAATGAATAGATGCGCTCGGGTTATAAAAGACCATTAGTGACAATGACAGTTTCAGGTATTTCGAGCTGCTGCCACTCCAGAAATTACGCACTCAACTGCAGAAATAAAGACAGAAAACTCCGATCTACGGTCATTTAGCATTTCATGACAACGTCGTCAGTCTAGTCAGGGCGTTTGGGAGCGTTTTTAAAGCAGCTGAGTGTAGCGTGTCAATGAGCGAATTACCTCTAAAATGTCTTGGAGCAGATACCCTCCTCTCGTCTCAAGATGATTCCCAGCCTTTCCCAAAAAAAAAAAAAAAAAAAAAGGCAACACGGAGCGAAGGCACAAATGACAACAAAATCAAACGCGTAGTTGCCACATTTCTCGCAACATCATCGACTGCTTTGGCTTGAGTCGGGAGGGGGGTGAGGGGGGTTTAAAAAAAAAAACAGGTCCTTTGGCCGTGCGGGCTGGTTCAAGGTGCGCAAGTAGTTTTCACTCGAGAAAACCTTGTCGTGGCGAATAAAGTCGAGAAAGGCGATGAGGGAGAGGAGGTAAGACGAAGATTTGCCGGGCGCAGGAGCGACGCTCTCTTGCGACGCTGGTCAACTGAGGATCCAGGGGGGGCGGTGATGAGGGAAGAAGAGGCTGCCTGGGTGGAGACCGGGGGTGGGTGAGTAAGGGAGCGGGGCTTGTCAAAACATCTGTCCAGGGGCGTATGTAGTTATTTGGGAGGGGGGGGGGGCTCAAGCCGAACACAGTCAACCTCACCACATCCGTGTGTTGCAAAGATTTGGAACATGGTTGTATGCAGAAGTTTAAATGCAATCAGGGCCACCTCACCCAAATGGGACTGATAGGCAGATGCTAAGGGCGCCGTTGACTCGAGGCGGCGCCAAAAATCAGGTAAAAATTCACCTTTGATTTTCAAATTATTAATATTAACTCAGATATGGAAGTTAAAAAAAAGGAAAGGAGTCATTTGAATTTAATCTAAATAATAAATAAGCGCTGGTCCAGTGGGTAGCGCGTCAACCTCACAGTGCAGTGGTACTGGGTTCGATTCCAGCTCCGGCCTTCCTGTGTGGAGTTTTCATGTTCTCCCCGTGGCTACGTGGGTTTTCTCCGGGTACTCCATTTTTCTCCCACATTCCAAAAACATGCGTGACAGGCTTATCGAACACTCTAAATCAGGGGTGCCCATTACGTCGATCATGATCGACCGGTAGATAGATCTAAGACAGGTCCCAAGTAGATCCGAGGAGTGTCGAGGAGAAAAAAAACCAACAACCATTTGTGTGTCTTTGTACACGTTAGTAATATATTTTTTGTGTTAATGTACGCTGCACCCTAATCATCCTATCAGTCTCATTTTCGTGTACAATTCACCGAGGGCACGGGCAAAGAATAGGAATCTAGAGGGCCGAGGGAAGCACTTTAAAATGGTACGTGTGAGCTACGATAGTTAACAGGCTGCAAAAGTGCATCGCATGCCTCAGTGTCAGGCTGTTTTTCATCATGACGTGCGTGCGTGTGTGTTTCTGTGTGTGTGTGTGTGTGTGTGTGTGTGTGTGTGTGTGTGTGTGTGTGTGTGTGTGTGTGTGTGTGTGTGTGCGCGCGTGCACGTGTGCCTGTAAGGGGCGATCCCGGTAGGTTGGTTGATCGAAAAGTAGATCTTCGGTCCAAAAAGTTTGGGCACCCCTGCTCTAAATTATCCCTAGGTGTGAGTGTGAGCGCGGATGGTTGTTCGTCTCTGTGTGCCTTGCGATTGGCTGGCAACCTGTTCAAGGTGTCCCCCGCTTACTGCCCGAAGACAGCTGGGATAGCATGCCCCACAACCCTTGTGAGGATAAAGTGGATCAGAAAATGCATGGATGGATAATAAATAAGCAAAGAGAAGCAAGGTGAATTCGAAATCAGTGTTCCTGCAGTGCATATGAAGCAACGTAACCACTCACAGCTGAAAGCAAATGAAATGTAAACAAACATTGCTGTGAGGCAGAGTTGTGCAGGACTGAATAATCTGCATGCTCACGAAGAGCCAGCTAGTATGACACAAGGACACAGGCTGGTGGTGATAGTTGCACTTTAAAGGGGAATTCGACACCAAACTTTTCTTTACATTCATATGTTTTATGTGCCTTCACGGTACCCTTTCAAAGTCTGTTGGTTCCAGAATTTGCCACAATTCATCATAAAGCCAATAAATGGCACTGTGGCACGTGTGTCCGGTTTACGCTGCCCCCTCATGATAAATTAACAGACTAGACAGTGGTCTAGAACAGGGTAAACCGCTTGTGAAATGAGTGGCCATGTTAGGAGGGGCAACGTTCTCATCAAAACTATGCATGGATCGATGAGATGGCCATGTTAGCAGCGGAGTCAGTCGCAATGGAGCACAGACGTTAGCTTAGCATCCGCTGCAGGCACGTCACTTAAAAGGAGCACTACAATAACTGCGCTGTATTGGATGCTTTTAAGCCATGAAATAAAGTGCGAGTCATGAGACTCAAACAATATTGCTTTAAATCAAAGAGAATTTTATTCATGTTTTTATGAGTTGTCTCAGGGCTCTTAGAAATCTCAACATCTCCCCCTGACGAAATGTAAATGTCGTGATTTTAGCACATGCAGTCGCTAATCTGTCAGGACTTGGGCTGGTTCAAGGCCCATTGTGGACAAAAGGTGAAAATGGCAACCGTTGTCAGACAGCTGGCTACAATTGAAGTGCCCTTGAGCAGAAGTCATCCCCATGCCCTCAGCTCAAGAGGCGCCACACTGTTTTGTTTTCACTCTGACAAGTCTCCTTGCATGCCTGCATGAGTCTGATGTGGTTCTCTTTGTGGTGTGCAGCACAAAATATACAGCAGAGTGGGTTGGGTTCAGTTTGCCCTTGAGAGATTATGAGTATAATAAATAAATTGAGTTGAAGATTTTTGTGGTTGACATGCATGTGGTGTATTGCCAGAAAAAGACATTTTGCCGCTCATTGAATTTTTCCGATGAAAGTCTGGTGCTACGAATGCCTCCCCACTCACCTTCTTGTGTAGACTTATAAAGAAATTAAAGCAAATGAACTGACAAAGCTGAAGTACAGTACAGAGCAGTCTGGGCGCGATATGCACAATGCAAACTGCGGCAAAAACAATCATGCTGCAGAAGGCCAAAGAAAAAGCTAAAGACACTTCCTTGACACACTGAACTCTGGTCTTATGCGACCTTCTCGGCTTATTTTCACACCGCTGCGAATGCGCTGTGGCTTGACAAACTAACTGAAATAAAAGTAAAATCTCTTCCGGATTACGCGGTACAGAGGGGGAGAATAAATACTACGTAACGATCAAAGCAGACCAGATCTTTTCGTCATGTCATGCCTCCCTTTGTGACAATTGAGCAACAGGTTTTCCACTAGCAGAATAATGACATTCTGCTGCCACCTTGAGGCTCCAACAAAATCCTCAGTCAGGGCGATTTTTAGCGTCGATTCAATCAGAACAAAAAGGGTTGGTTGTTGGTATTTTCTTAATAAGGAGACATATGGTACAAGCCAGGGGCAATTAGCATCACCTTTTGATAATAATGTTCTTGAGCGGAGGTGATTTTGTTTATCGATGTCACACACAACACTACTACACGAATTGGTAACGTTTAGAAATTCAGTGGCTGGGTGAAGAAATGCTGCTGTGATAATGCAAATGAATCTCAAAGGAAAGGCCTTGTTGTGTGATTTACAGATGGTAGCTATTCTACTTTAAATCCCTCCTTTGGAACCAAACCATCATTTGAAACCTGACCCGAGCCTACTTGAGCAACCCTACTTTGAAACCTTAGCCCAAGTTTGAACCCCTATTTTGAGAGTCTTAGCCTACATTTAAAACTAACTTTGAAACCTCAGTCAAGTTTATAACCTTACTTTGAAACCCTTACCCTCCTTTGAAACCTTAATTTGAAACCTTAAATTTGGGTCAGCGTTTCAAACTATGATTCAGGTTTTAAAGTTGGGTTTCACAATAGCATTAGGGTTTTTTAAAAAGGCTTTCAAAATAAGGTTAGCATTTCAAAGTAAGATTCGGGTGTGAAGAAGGGATTCCAAAGTAGGGCCAGGGTTGCAAAGCAGGGCCAGGGATCCAATGTAAGGTGTGCGTTTCAAGCAAGGGTTTGTGGGCATCCACAGATATTTTTGACCGGGGGTTGGGGTGGCTTCACAGCTCTTCCTAAAAGCGCCCCTGCAAAAGAACTACGTGTAGACCACGCCCCTCGCTGCGCACTGTAACACGACGTGACGTCACTGTGATCACGTGACGTGGGTCGGCTCGTTGTCTGCGTCTCTGCTTGTTGTGTATTAAGAACAAGCGCCTCTTGGCCTACTTACGTTCACAAGACCATAAAATACGATGGAAGGGAGAAACTACGGCTCAAGTAAATATACTTCTATTGTCGTGACATATGTAGCTGACGGAGCACGACTTACTCTGCCTTACATTCGTCGCTTTATATATTTATTTTTAGCTTACTGTTAGCCGCTAGCCTTACCCCTTGCAAACAATTGCCATGGACTCAAAGCCTTGCAAACTTGTTGATTTATTTCTTGATTTCACAAATCAAAGTCTCTTATGTGTGAAATAGTAAATCGTTTCCTTTAATGCGTTAAAAAGTGTGCTGGCATTCAAATAGCAAAGCCGTCGTTTGTTTCTTCGTCATCGTTAAGCTAACTCATCATTGTTAGCATATAGCTATTTGCGTGTGGCTGTTAGCACGTTGCCAAATTAACGATTTCAACGTTTCGTTTCGTGAATTACTCAGTTGGTGTAACACGAAACATCTTAGTTTGGTATCAAGATGGCTGTCTCAACAACATGACTTTTACGGTCGCTGTGATTCGTATCACCGCATGTTTAAAAAAAAAATCAAGCGTCCAAATGCGAATTACGTTTGTTGATCATACTTAAAAAAAAATCCCAGTTGCCATTCTTAATCGTATTTGTACAATTACTTTCACTCTTTTGGTCCAATTTAATACTAAGCTTGTATTTTATAGGTTTTTCCAATTGGGGTCGTGGAGGGTCTGGCAACAGAGGTAAGCGATGTGGTTGAAATGAAATTGTCATGTAAAGGAAACAGTATTTGATATTATGCACTGATATTGACTACATTACATATACAGACCAACCTTGAGTCAGTTTTCCCTGTTACGATATAAATAATTCAACTGAACTGTATTTATAGAGCACATCCAATCGAGGGACCTTTTCTGACAGAAGAAGAGGACATGAATTTAAAATATATAGCATTTGCTCATTTACTCAACTATAGATAGATAGCTGGGCGGGGTACACGCATACCTATTTTTAACACAGCGGTTGTGAAAACACTCTGTAAATAAAGATGTGTTTTATTGCATCTTAACATTAACAATGGCCCGGGGACACTGACTGTCAAGCCAGCATCAGTGGACTGTCAGTGGGCCGGTACACATTTTAAAATCGGTCAAATTAAATCAAAAAGTTTTTGCTGATTTAAAAAAAAAATCTTTCTATTCACTATTTTTAGTTGTATCTACTTAAATGGATCAATCCTTATTGATTTTTTTTTGATTTTTATTATTTTTTTTAAAGGTCAGAGAATGTCAAATGTTAAATATGTGCTTAGATTTTATATGATGAAATAAAACACAACATGCAAAGAAAAAGTAACGACACAAAAGTAATATTTCTTAAAGGTTTAAATAAAGCAATATAAAGTCCCTAAACATGAAATAATCATTGAAAGTTAGCGTATTATGTCACAAACATACAGGGCCACTGCTGGTTCAGGCAGGGCGACTACAAAACGGATCACGGTGGGCCGACAAAAGACCTCACCATACATATTTTATGTAACGATTGATTGGATGAAGAAAGTATGATGAGAAACAGGACCTCACCCACACCACATGATAATATTTTAGGGACATGAGAGAATCTGGACTTTGATCAAAGGGGGTTAAGGGCTGCTATAATTCTGCAAGATTATTGGTATGTGTGTACCCCGCATTAGATAGATTATGCCTATGAAATAAATAAAAAAACCTCCACCACTTGAGGACATTTTCTACTTCTCATACATATCTTGCCCATTTGAGTGGTAGGTAGACACTTTATTCATCCATGAAGTAAATTCCATCAAGGTGACCGTTTCAGGTGTGACCTGTAGCCATGATAAATGATAAAAGTATAAATACAGCCCAATTGTGAGCTCAATGGTCAAACAGCGAGTGTAGGAATGTCAAACTCGTTTTTGTCGCGGGCCACATTGTAGTTACGGTTTCCCTTGGAGGGCCGTTATGAATTTTGGGAAACCATATAAATGTTTAACCCCCTCCACATATTACATTCACAGCGCACAACAAATTGATCAATAACTATTTTTTACAATCAGAAGTCAATTATTATGACTGTTATTGGAGATTACATATGACAATTTGAAATTTTAGTTCGGACTTTAGCAAGCATCGTGGAACTTGACGTGCTTGATTTGCTTTCGCGGGCCACATAAAAGGGTGTTGCGGGCCAGATCTGGCCCCCGGGCCTTGACTTTGACACCTGGGAGCTAGTGCAAGTACTGTAATAATGGGATATGAATGAATAGTTAACGTTATAGTGTTGCCTCTATAATACTGTAATCTCTATTAGGTTCTGGAAACTTTGATCTATTTGGTGGGAATTATAAGAATTCCATGTCGGGGTTCGGGGGCTACGGAGGCGGTAACTCCAAGAGAGGCCTCTCTGGGTCATCCATGCTCCAGCAAAAGATAACGCATGCAGACGAAGTTATTGCCAAAATTAACCAGCGCTTGGACATGCTCACTCAGCTGGAAGGGGGCATGAAGAGCCGAGGCGACAGGTAAGTCGTTTTGTATTTATTTATTGTTGCGTCATTGTTATGTCATGCCATGCACGTTTGTCCTGTGGGTCATGTGATGGTGATGAAAAGATCAAGTATCTCCTCAGCTTACTCTTTGCTGTTTTGTGTTTGAGCTGTTGTTTTTACACATGCCCCATATGAAGGGGGAAAAAAGCTGGGCATCATGTTGTTTTATGACTGCGACTAGTCGAAGCACTCTAGGGCCAGATTCGATTGCGCTTCCCTTGCCATCCATTTTGTTGGTTCACATTCTGCCAAGTCTGAGGCGACCCATTTGCTTTTTGTCGCTGGTATCGGGATACTTGTTTTCTCGTTCTTCACGCCTTGAACGCTGTCCTCCGTCTTTCTTCACTGTGTTTACATTATTCACAAGCGTTGATTTTCTCATCCATGTGACCTAACCCTGCGCTCTGGTTTTAAGGTTCACACACAAGATGAGTTTCAAGCTACTGGCCTTACAATAGCGAATTGTTCAAGGCTGTCTGCTATTCCAAGAACCTAGAAGAAAAGACCTAAAGCTTGTTTTTGTACTCGCTGTAGTCTTATTATTCTCAAAGCGCCATTGGCTACGTTGGTGTGCTCATTCTTGAAAGAGGAAGTAAATCTGCACCCCCCCCCCAACCCCCCACCTCTGATGGCAACACTGGTTGACCTCTGAGTGAAAAATGTAGTTGGAAGAGTTCTTGTATATGTACCGATCAGAGGCGATTTCCAATGTTTTCTGTCAGATATTGCAAGCAGACCGTAGTGTTGGTGGATGTCCGTCTTGTGATCTGACAAGAAAATGGCAACACCGCGGAGGTGCAAAAGTGTCTGATGGAGCAATCCAAACCTGCCAGCCCTCCTTGCCTCCCGCCTTGCTCTCTGCTCTTCTCTATCAACCCCTCTCCCTCCATCCCGCAGGTTTGGCCAGTTCGATTCTTTCGACTCGCTCTCCTCCTCCTCCCGAGATCTCTTCAGATCCGGTGGCGGTAGCTATGGCTGTGATGATGGCCGTGGCGACAACATGCTGTTGGGCCAGCGAGGAGGCTCGGGCTTCGGGGGGGGCATGGGGCAAGGAGGGGGAGGCGGCTTCAACAGCCTCTCCTCTTCCTATGGAGTCGCTAAAATGCGACAGAATATGAGGGAGTCCTTCACCAGTGGCTCTGGTGGGGGAGGATGGGTCGGAGCAGGCCGTCATTCCCCCAGAAGGGGTGGAGGCGCTGGAGGTCGAGGATCTGGCGGAGGGTTTGGGGGCTACAGGTCAGAGCCCATGCCATTTGGCGGAGGTGGCCGGGGAAGCGGTCCCTCCCCAGGGGGTGGTCGAGGCAAGCTCCCATCCCTCCTGTCCAACCGCATGTACTCAGAGGGTGGAGGTTTCCACCAGGGTCCCTCCCAAGGGCCCCACGACTTTCCCGGGAGGCATTTTGGAGGGGGCCCGAGGGCTGGCCGCCAGCGAGGCCGCAAGAGACCCCTCAACAAAGTAAGTACCTCCTGCCAAATGAGGAACCCCTATTCAGATACTGGCCAAGAAGCCGCTTCTGATTGCCACCTTTCTCGACCGTAGTCCAACTGGCGAGCCAGCCTTTCACACCAGTGCCCGCTCTGTTGACATTTACCAACATTTAAATCACTTGCCCACTGCACTCCGCCCACTATTTATTAGCTATACTCAATGTAATGTCAAGTTCTTTGTGGATCTGAACTGCTCTTTTGTAAGCTACAAGCAATTTTGTGCTTCTCACTGCAGCAGCTAATTTCATGGTTAGATGTGCTGTGACATCCCCCCACCCCACCCCTGATCTTTTTGGGTTTCGTGGTTGATTTCAAAACTTGTTCCACAAATAGAAGGTGACCTAGAATTGGTAAATTTCAATGGGTGGTGTGTGTGGGGGGTGTATTTGAGACAGGGTGAATAAAACTGAGATAAAGTGTGTTTGCACAAGTCATATACACACCCATAACTTGGACACGTGCTGTGTTCTGAGTTAACCAAACTCATGTTAAATTGGATTCCGGACACATCTGCCACCAATTCAAGTGCCCCTGGTTTAACCCCCACACAACGTCAAGTGGTTTGAGACTGTTTACCAGTGATTTAAAAAAAAAAAATTGCTTTCTAGGAGAAGCCTCGATGTTTTGTGCTAACACTGACTGCTATTTGGCGCTGCTCATATATCCCTCCACTTTTACCGCATCACGTAACCAGACGTGAACAACGGGCGTCTCCTTGTATCGATCAGTCAATCTTTATATTGCACTTTTCATACATGAAAATGCAACTCAAAGTTCTGTGCAATTCAGACACCAAAAATACAACATAAAAAGGGGACCTCCCCCCAACGTACAGATACATATCGCCACAAGCATGCCTGTGCTCGCGCCACACCCTGATGAACTGTATTAAAAAAGACGTGGCAAGGCACAAAAAAAAACCATACGAGGAAAAGAGCACCTAAGGGGAGCTCATCCACGCTGGCAAGAATGACAGCTGCCACAACTCCCAGCGTTGAGGCCTCGTTGAGCATTGAGGAAACACTGGCGCAGGAAAAATAAAAGGCTTGATTTAAACGAATTAAAATAGGTACCAGTATACGTTATTCAAAATCCCAAGCCAAGCTCTCTATTAAAAATATCAACAGTCTCTGGATCTGATGTCATATGACAGGCCATTCCATAGCTGGGGACCAAAATAGCTGAATGCAGCCTCATCGTGTGTTCTGGTCCTCACCTGAGGAATGATCCCAGGATCCGCGAGGGTTGATCTATCCATTGCGTAGCTGATTGTGTTCTCAACATAAATAAGTACACACCAAAGAGTTTATTGGACAACATTTTGTATCTTAACTGCACTACATCACACTCCCTCGTATTTGGGTCATTGTCTGCAGATGAGAGAGGCGTGCGCACATAAAAAGGCATTTTTGTTTTTGCTTTTGTCGCCAGTCGAAAGTTTAGCAAGGTCATTTTTGATTTAAGAAAATAGCAGAAATTCGCCGGCAGGTGAGTCGTCTAATCACATTTTAACTTGCTCTGGTGTTCACTCATAAACTAGATTTAGTGGGAGTGTAACTTAGGTCTGGCACAGTTTTTTTTTTTTTGTTTTTTTTTGGGGGGGGGGGTCATCATGAATGTGGACACTTGTTTTTGCCCACCAACCCCCCAAAACATAAAAGCAAAGTATGTTTTGATCCTTTCTCAAGTCTATATTGGCTGAACTTTAGCAGGTAAGACCACCAAATGATGTCCAGAAGAAGAGAAAGCAGATGCTCACTCCCGCAGATGAGCCAGAGTCTAAAATGAACAGGACTGAAAGCGCAGATGCTGGCGCTTCCGAGGGTATGTTGCAGACATGCGGCACATGTTAGTTGGCGTGATCATATTTCAACTAAAGTGAGCCCATTAGAAAACTTTTTGTGCTTGAACATTTTGTCCATGCAGAGAAAGAGGAGAAAAATAGCGACAACAGCGAGACGACTGCAGCTGCGGTGAGTATCACAACCGCACCGCGTGGAAGGAGCACTTGAGTGGAACCATGTCTACCTGCCGTTGCGCTCAACTACACCATCCGCTCTAGATGATGAATAATATTTGTGGATTTTTTTTTTCTCAGGAGACTACTGATGGAACGTCAGGTGAGCACACAGACTTTCCATTCATCATGGTTGTGAGTGATGTTGAACTTTACCCGACAACACTATTAGGTCATCACAATGTCACGCTTGGAACACTGATCACAACATTTTGGTTCATTGGCCAAAGTAATGGGTGTTTTTGTTTTGTTTTTTTGTTTGTTTTTTGTTTTTTGTTTTTTTGCAAAGATTACTTCAGTCCCTGTCAATCTTTACATTCTACCAAACTACAACATGCCAATTGAGATGACTGTACATCAGCAAATGTGGTCATGCTGTGCCACCCCCAAAAAATGGGTGCAACCATTTCTGTGTTGGTGCAACCAACTCTAAAAGCTGGTCGCACCAGTGCGACCAGTCGGCGCTACTGGACGGTTTAGTTTTCCCTCCCAATTTGTAAAATGCTTCTGTTCTGCAGCCTGGCCATGTTCCACATAATCCGGGAAACGAACGACACTCATGTCACTCTCCACTAGCATATATATATATTTTCCCCCAAAATAACATGATGTAACCATCATTTTTGAGTGATTATGAATGTAGTGTAGTGATTATTCTGAATTTGAATATTTGATGTATTTATTTTTTTGGGGCGGGTTGTGTTACATAATATACTGCAATAACTGTCCCACGGTCATGTGTTTGACAGAATTTTTTTAAAATGTGGAAATTCTGACAAAATCAAGTCAATTTCTATGGATTGGCAGCTCTGATAATGCTCCACCAAAATTTTTGATGCAGCTGATTGTCAGAGTGTCTCTGCACAACTAAGCTCCGCTCCCGTCTTCCTCTCAGGTGCAGCGAAACAGGACGATGGCACCGAGAAGGCGGCGCCTCAGGAAATACAGCCTCCTCCCCGAGCCCCGGGCAAATCTGCAAAAATGAAAAAGAAGAGGGGCTTTCAGGATAGGTGAGCAGGCAAATTAAAAGAACTCAACTCTGGCCACTCTCAGCGTACATAAGCAGTTCTTCATGCTGTGGTTCAACTTGGCGGCAAGCTTAAACGCCAACTTGTCCCATTTCCTTCCTCCAGGGTGATGTTTGCGTGCTCTGTGTGCAAGTTCAAATCATTCTACAAGGATGATATGGAACGACATCTGGAGAGTCGCTTCCACAAAGACCACTTGAAGTTCCTCTCGGGCCAACTCTCCAAGCCAACCACAGACTTCCTCGAGGTGATTAGCAGTCGCTCACTCTAAAATGGTTTGCATGCTTTGTGGTTTTTCCAACGACAAGACATTATTTAGAGGCATCCTGGTTGCGTCTGCCTGCTCAACCGTCGTATCTGTACCGGTGAAGTTAATGGTGGGGTTTAAAGAACAAGTGTTCTTACCTGCAGTGTGCCGCATTTGGAAAACATGTTAAATATTTCATCATCGGCCCAAAAAGAATCGGATCAAAATAAGATTTGTTTCCTGACAAATGGTGCATGCCTCATTCAGCCAGAAAAGCCTTGTGTGAGGAAATACAGTATGACTGAACACGACAAATGTGCGGCGCGCAGCTGAACGCTTACGCTGTTTGAATCCCAGGAGTACTTGCTGAATAAGTTCAGGAAAATGGACCAAATCGTCAAGCAGATGGAACACCACAGCGCTGCCCTCTGCCAGATGTACAGAGATCAGGACCTCACGAAGGGTAAGCGACTCCAGCCGAGGGCCTGATGATCTGGTCGGAAAGGAAAAAAAAGTCAAGCCATTGCTGATTGGCGGGGTTTTGCGTACGCTGCTGCAGATCTTGGCATGGAGCACTTCATGAAGAAAGTGGAAGCTGCACACTGCAGCGCATGTGACATTTTCATCCCCATGGAGCTTCACATGATTCAGAAACACATCAAATGCCCTGACCATAACTATAATCGCAAGGTATACGCACGTTTGTTTTTCTTTTTATGAAAGGGACATCCCTCAATCCCACTTTGTTTTCTAAATGTGCTTCAGAAATGCACGTTGACGGATTTCCCTTTGTGTGATTCAAGGGAATGATGGAGCAGTCGAAGAAATCCAGCCTGTCGGTTGCACGCAGCATTCTCAACCACAAAGTCATTGGAAAAAAGCTGGAGAGCTACCTCAAGGTACGTAAGGGCATGCAGCCCCAAACGACAAGTGTGGGGGGGGGCTCGAAGGCATTAGAGGGGACAAACGCTAACAATGCAGTCAATCTTAACAGCGCTAAGACTGCACATGAAGGCTCAAAGGTAACGCTTTGCTTTGGCCTGTCTGAGCACAAAGAAAGGGAATGAGATGAGTTTTATAGTGATTAAAGGAAGATAAATTCAATTAAAAAAATTCATTATGTATTATTTTTATAAATAAATCAAAATAAATTATTAATTTTTATTTAACATTTCTATACTTATGTCTTATGGAATTTTAGCTGTGTGTGTTCAATGCACTACATGTTTGCACTGCGGTTGAGAGAGGAAAGTAATTTCATCTGTGCTGTATGTTACACATAGAGCATATTTGACAATAAAAGCTGACTTGACTTGAAACGCAAAAAGGCAAAATATGGAGTGCTTCAACTGTAATAAAAATACTTGGATATCGGGAAACTAAATTGTGAACTTTTAACATTTGTGGGCATCTTCCACCATTATTTAGGTTTACTCTTTGTCAATTAGTGCCCTGCCGACACATCACAAAAACACAAATACCGGTAGCACTATTTGTTCATGTTATTCCCTGCTGACATCACAGCTTTGCTTACCTTTTGGCTTTGACCATCATAGCCATCACTTGAACGGCGGCGTTTTAGCCAGCCCGGCTTCCGAGTCGTAGGCGGGGAAAACTTGATGGGGCGCAGTTGTGTAAATCAGCCTAATTGTATTTGCAGTGTTTGGAACGGACATTGTACTGATAGCCTTGTTGCTTTTTCCAGGGAGAAAATCCATTTACTGGTAACCCCCAGGGCCAGGAGGCATCCGATTCCATGGTGGTGGACGCAACAGAGGGACAGAAGGAATCCGTCATTGCCGAGGAAGGCACCCAAGCCGTCGAGGCAGCCGCGCAGCAGGAGACCGAGGTGGAGGCAGCCAAGGAAGTAAAGATGGCGGCAGAGGAGGAGGAAGAGGAGCGGGAGGAGAGAGAGAAGGAGGCATTCATGGAGAGCGCCGAGGAGGAGCAGGAGAACCTGGAGCACCAGGAGGGTGAAGAAGAATTTGAAGTGGCAGAGGATGAAGAAGACGACGAAGAGGGATACGTGGTCCACGATGAAATTGATGAAGAGGAGGGAGCAGAGGTGGCCGCTGCCGTTGAAGAAGACGAGCATAAAGAATGAACTTTTGTCCCTGGTGAACGGAGCAGACACATGACAAACAATGAAATATGTAACCCTTACAAATTTCACTTTATTCCACCTAAATGTCTGTGTTTATACTTTGGTGTAATAGTCAGAAAATGCATTTAGAACATGGCAGTTTGATACCAATCCGAAGACAACCATCGCAAAATGTGTTTATTGCTTTTCAATATTTTGTGTGGCTTTTTGTTCAAGCTATTGTTCATTTATATTACACTGTCGAATTGTTTCAAGGCACTTTGTATTATACGATTTTGTCAGCCTAAAAATTGCGTTCTGCCCATTACGGATGTATTTTTTTTCCCACTTCCAACTGAGTGGTGGATTGTTTTGTTCTACTTAAAGCAGTTGTGAATTGAACAATTGCCATGTTTCTTCACTATTAATGTAACTTCTAGTGTCATGAATAAACTTGAGTCAACAACCCTTTCACTCTTGGATGACTTTTTTTACTCTAAAATATCAGCATAATAATCAAATTATATAGTGTCTCAAACTATTCAGAATTACTGTGTCAAGCTTTGAGGAAAGACAGAAATTGATGCTTACCTAACTGTGCTTGACAGATTTCCCACGAAAAGACTGATGCAAATCACAATAACCCAGTCATGAGATAACGTGTTCCAAGAACTTTTAACATTTATGACAAGGACATCATATAGTTTCATGAAGGACAAAAGTAATGTCTCAACATTGTAGAAAGTATGCACTTTTTTAAAATTGATAAATGAAAGTATTTCATTAGTGAAATGCAAGATGTGTATTTATTTCTGCCTGTTTCCTGAATTCCAATTGATCTTTGCTGCTGCTGTTTTATCATGATGTAGCTTATTTCGACTGGCAATATCAATATAGTTTAAGGAAAATATAAGGTCTGCTCCATTTTGCTCTCATCGTCGCGTGTGCTGGTGGTTTTGGCAGCGATGGGGATAGCCAGAGGTGGGGATTGCACAGGGTGCCTTTTAAACAAGGTGTGCCACTCAATGCGGGGACACAATATATTTTATGAATAATTGCTTTTAATTTATTTACATTTACATTCATGTTCAAAATAATACCAATTTGTATTATGATAAAGAAGTTTCTTCACAAGCATTGTATTTATTTTAGATAATATACTTGCACTGTAGCGTTGAAATGGATGCAAATGATTGCGTAATATGCCTGAGGAGAGGGAGGAGCTTCGCCTGACACTGACAGCGGCGTCCCTCCCGCCCCGCCGCCGTGCGTCTGACGTAATCAACGTCGAACTGGGACTGTTTGTTCTGGATTTGGGGCGAGGAACGTCCTCCGAGCGCTGACAACCGACTCAGCTAGGTATGAATCGTGCTCGCTTGGGTGACACCGGCGTATGTAGCGAGAGTGAGAAACCGGCGAGATCCGGTAAAAAACGCGATCAGGCCCCGTATCTATGGTGTTTTTCCTCCCGCTGTCAAGAGTGAGCCTCGGCATGAGCTGTGTTCGCGTGGGGCCTTGCACCGGTTCGGGCGACACACGCGATTGATCATGTTGGTGTCTTTTGAAGCTAACGTGGCGCATGTTGTTTCTCGGCTCCTTCCGCTATGTATTACAAGCACTAAGATGGTTTTCGTGGTGTTTGAGACACTGCGCCGTCACATTATGTACACGTTAGCTCGCACTCGTGCTAAAAGCAGTTAGCTCAACTCGAGCTGTTTGTTTGTATCCCCGTAGGCCGTATTCATGACATAACTTACGTACTCCAGACGGCGTAGCCGAGGCGGCATAGCGCTGGAGGCCGTGTGCAGCGTGACGTAACTCGTTTACGTGAATACGGAGTCGTCCTGGTTGTATTCTGAAAGGTCGTTTACGTGCGAAGTTGACACTTAGTGGTGAAACATGGCGACGTGCTTGCTTGTCATGGAAGGTTAGCAAAGACAGCGATGTAGCAGCTAGCACGACGTTTTGGGGGGGGAGGACGTGGACGCTCTTATTTAGCTGCTGGTAGCTTAAACGGACACATGGTGTTAGGTTAATTCCGTTTCCCCCCGCTCAGTTGTCGTAAAAATGTTAAATCCACCGTCAAGAACATAGTAGCCCAATGGCTAACACTTCCTACGTAGGTAAAATTAGCGTTCACTTGATGCTTTGATGTTTGCTCTTTGAGTAACGTCACAAAGGTTGTTGAATGTTGGATATCTCTGCCTTTCACTCAAAGTCGAAAGAAGCATCTAAATATCAGGGAGCCTGCATCGACGATGTATACATCCGTCGATCTTGTAAGTAATTAAAAGAAAAAATGGATGAGCTTGTGTCTGTGGATTCTAGGACAATTTGACAAAATGTCACCTCGAGCTGGGAATTTTTTTTAGCAAGCAAGTAGTAAGTTAGAGGGAATTATGCTGTTTGGCTAAAGACACACTCTGTCTTTCTATCTTATCTATCGATCGACAGAGATATAGATAGATATATCCAGAAAGATTAGAAATAGGGTAAACCCTTGCTAATAGTGGTGTTAGGAATCAAGTCCCACTGTATTGTAGATACTCCATTCTCCAATCCCAAAACGCTTCAAGGTATGGTTGTACTTTACAATATGATTACGCTTTTATTGTCAATCCACAATATATGTGAAACATACAGAGGACAGGGGCTCACAGTCTCGAAAATATAACACAAAACGTGAACAATAAATACCAACATCTTCTCCATTCAGATTTGCTTTGATCTTTGAAGCAGTTATAGATGAAAGAGGACAGCTTTGAAGTCTCCCTTCAGTTGTCAATTACAGTGTGCACGATGACACTCCTGTTTGTACTTCAGTATTTCAAATTTAGTTAAGACAATTTATGGACATGGGCCCACCGACAAGCACAGAGGGTCTAGCCCCCTGCAGCAAACTCTTACCGTATATACCATGCAGCCCTAGTAATGGAAACTACAAACGATCATTAATCTTGGGTTGGGCGCTTAGGTATCTAAGATTTAACAGGTAGCCGTTATCAGCTGTTAACTTGGACCACTGCCAATAGCGATCTGGATCTTTCTCTGCATCAATTTGACAAGGGTTACTTTCTTCAGCATCAACCCCACAAGGAGCCTTGGTTGTCTGTTGGACCTTGACTGGAATATTGCGTCACACTTCCGTAAGCCATCTATCAGCTGGTCGCCAGTGCTATGTACTTCTCTGATAACATCATGCTGTAGAAGGAGCAGAAAAAAATCACAAGTAGGGGGCACATTGTGAATCAGATGTTTGGCCTTTATATTTATCTATTTGAGGCCTGACATAGAAATACAATTATCACATGAATAGAAATAAAAGGCACCATACAAAACAACAAAATGTACACACAAGGTGAGTTCATCTCGCTGAAATGCACATGTGATTTCTCCCCTCCCCTTGTAATTATTTTATTTACTTTTCTGTAACTTCCCTCGTTACCTCTTGTTTTTCTGTGAGGGTGATGTGTCTCTCTCACTGTGTTGCAGTTTGCACTCTCAGAGAGAGCGTCGCTGCCCTCTCATTGTCCACATTATGAACGACCAACAAGTTTAAGTAACGGCCAGACAGCAACAAAGATGTAAGTGTTCAGGAACATCAACTTAGTACGTTCATTTAGCTCACTAGTGGGAATCATGTAGAGCAACCATAAGAATAAAGGTCTTTTATCAATATCATTTGTTATGTAAAATATAGACATAGAACATGACCCCCGTGATAAACTGTACTTTATAGAGGGCTCCGTCCTTTTAGCAATTACCCAATGGCTTGTTTATAACAGCCCTCCAATATGGCTGCTGGTAGTGCATTGTGGGTAATTGCTAAAAGGACGGAGCCCTCTATACTGCACTAATGATTAAAGAGAGACCAATATTCGTCAACTGCAGAATATCGGCATCAGCCCTTTTTTTTGTTTTTTTGAAATCTGAAGGCTGATAAGAAATCCACGTAAAACAGGGGAAACTTTCGGGATCTGTCTATCTAAAAATGTCACTTAATAAGACATGCTGCTACTGACAGCTAAAATGAAGAAATTGGAGAATCAATATTAAATGTTAATATTTAATTTTTTTCTGGAATGCACAGTGAATCCAATTTCCCCGGACCTTGGAGTTATGTTTTTTTTTTCTCTTCCCGTTTCCATCCTTGGTATGGTCATTTTTTTTTTCAACCCATCAGGATGTCATCCATTTGATAGGCTCCTATTTTGGGGAAGTTGGTTATAACGGCCCTAAGGAATTATAAAGTGCTATTTTTTGGGGGGTGTTGGTTGTTAGGGGCAAAGACAAATGATAACATTAAGACACACCCATTATTTTTGCGGTGAGGACTGTTGGAACTGGCAGTGCAGGTGTTGACAAGTGTTTACTGAAGTATTGTAAAGTTATTGCTGTGGGATACAAGGCATTGACTTGCTCTTGATGCTGCGAAAGAAAGAAACCACTCGAACCCCAAAACTCATACTTCTCTTGAACAGAGAGTCAAGCGAGGAGTGGAATGGCCTGAGGGGGATCCTCCCGGTCCCACCTGCCCCCGCCAGGTCCAATCTGCCTAAACTCATTGCTTGGCCGTTGCAAACCACCACTGTGATGGGGGACGGACTGGAGCCTGGCAGCAGCCACAACCCTCCTTCAGCCCCGCAGCCTCATATCCTCAACCCCGCACCCCCCGATATAGGGAATTCCACAAGACCCAAACGACAGACCAACCAGTTACAGGTTTGTAAGAGGGACTGCTGCTTTTTGTTGTGATTTATTATTATTTTGGCGACTGGGGGGGGGGGGGGCAGCCAGGAGGCTGCAACTGACTGGACTCACTTTCTCTTTTCAGTACTTGCTCAAAGTGGTACTGAAGACATTATGGAAGCACCAGTTCGCATGGCCCTTTCATGCTCCTGTAGATGTCGTCAAACTCAATTTACCCGTGAGTCGTGTTTTTTTTTTTTTTTTTTTTCCCCACTGACTGGGTGGGGTGCTTGGTCACCTTGACCACCTGCGGGCTCAAAGTGGTACTGAAGACATTATGGAAGCACCAGTTCGCATGGCCCTTTCATGCTCCTGTAGATGTCGTCAAACTCAATTTACCCGTGAGTCGTGTTTTTTTTTTTTTTTTTTTTAATGAAGGGATGTGGTTCAAATTGCCTCGTGGGCAGGTGTTAAAGTACAGTGGAACACAATACATTCTGGTGAATTGTATTGGTCAAGCATTTGGAAACATATTTTCCCCGATGGGAATTTTTTTTCTTTTTTTCACTTAATTCCAGAGTCTTAACTGTCACCATGAAACATTGATTAACTCCACAGCCAGTTTAGTGCTGGCTGATAAAAATAGAAATTGTGTACTCACCCGTTGATGACTGATGGACGCTGGGGAAGGTGTACATAAACTGTCACCAAAAGACCTGCATCATGTTGTTTTTAACATTCGTAACTGTCATGCAAGTGTAAAAAGTCTACGCACATTCTACTGA